GTTTTTTGTTAACAGAATATTGTCAGTTTAGCAAATTTATCTCATTTTAAGATGATGATCTAAAGTGCACATACTGTACGTCTAGATAAATAGTATAAATTCATATAATCAAATGTTTTAACAAATGGATCACCAGAAAGATCTTCACTCCATGGATCATATCCTATTTATTTGCCATACTATTATTATTATTATCAAAACAGGCAAATGTAACTGTTGTACGTGAAAATGAAATTATGTGAATTCGCAATTCACATATGTATGTGAAATTCAAATTTACATGTGTGAAATTCAAATTAGCCAATCAGAATTTCACCCACCCCATAATTTCAATTTCACATACAACATAACCAAGATCTACCATGAATTTTATGAAAAAACTTGCTTGAATCAAATAAATTCATTGCCATGGTCCAATGTCCAGTAATAGCAGGATCTGTGATGTTTATTAAAAGCTTGATATAACCTGTTCCATCCAAATTCAGATTGCCTTTTGGTAAAAAGGTTCCAAGTAAAGTACGAGAAGAGTCATGAATATTTGGTGGGATTACTGGCTGTGTAATATATTCATTACAAGAAGCTATTACTTTTTTTTTTTTTTGAGCATTTGAGTCTGAAGTGTATACATAATACGATATAATAATAATAATAATAATATATAATAATATTCTACTTACCATCATCATTATAATTTGTGAGTACACAACTTATGTTAAAACTTTTATCATAAGCAAAATAGAAAGCTACATTTATTCATGTAGTTTGATGTTAGAAAACATTTATCATTTGTTTTTTTAATTCAAATAAATATTTTACCTGGTACAATTAGTTTATCTGTTGAGCTATAGGATATACCAATAGCAGATTGTTCATTACATATCTTAATAATCGATACCACAATGGAAGCAACAAACAATGACAACAATATAAGATCGACAAGAGGGCGAAAACGTGTTCTAAAGGTTTGTAACATTTTTTTTACTTTTTATTTTATTTTAATATGAGTCAAAATGAAAGGAAAAGACAGATATTTATGTTTGTTCCTCCTCAGAACTTCTCACGAATAAAAAATTACATGTGGAAGTCATTTCGAACTTATTTGGAGAAGCATATTAACATTAATATCAAGTTATATTGAATTCATCAATTACTGGATTTATCGTCAAAAATAATAATAATAAACTTCCTTTTTCTCAGTAGTTTCTAACATGGCATTAGTTGCACTAGATACATTAATGTTTCACATAAAACTGACTTTATACTAATACAGTTGATACCTCTCTTGGGACTGAAAAAAAAAAGTGTAATTGTAAAAAAGTTATATGACGCGATTATAAGGAGTTTTCTTTAATATATTTTAAGTAATGTTGGTTTCTAGAGTTCCACAACTGTGCGAAAGTCAAAAGGTTTCTTCATAAGTCGAAACTAGTTTTGATTTTTTACTTTTTGTTTTGTTGATTTTAGTTTTGACATGTAACGTTTAATTTGAGTTTTGACTTTCGCCTCTTCAAAATAACTTTGACTAATTTTAAGTAACTCGCCTTACAGAAAATGGACGTCAAACTCATCACAAGAAACACCCTCCAGTAGTCAAGGTAAAGATAAGAGGAATATGTTATAAAATCAATAATGCTTCTGTATATAAGTACCTGATGAAATCACTATTTCAGATATGAACAAAAAATTAAACTTTATCAATGGTTATTTCATTAATGGCAGGCAATTCTATAATTGTATCCGATTTTGGTAAAGTTTTTCGCTGAAAGCTATATAGCTATATATGAAAATTTTTCAAAATAAAAAAAGTATTAGTATATACCAGGGTTGGCAAATTGACTGGTCCATTGAGAACAAATGGTCCATTGTCATTTAATAAAATACTAAATATGGTTAAAGTGTTACACTAATGGACCCAATAGACCACCAATAGAC